CACCAAGACAGCCTTTTGATCCTTCGCACTCCCCAGCTGTAAGGTTGTGTTTGCAATAAGCAGGTATTTGACAACACTGCGATTCAATGTTTGGATGGCTCAAAATTTGAAAGCTTTTTCTTTGTCTTTTAAATGCCATTGGAAAAGTTTAGGTGTTGGTTCTCTGGGAACTGATGGACCCCCATCCCCTGGGGCTTCTGTGGGCTGGTACCCCTGTGCCTGCTGCCTCTGGTCTCCATGCGCAGAGGTTGGACCTGTGGAAGAGGCTGGTGGGGAGAAGGAGGCAGCAGCAGGGCTTGTCTTCCTCTCATCCCTCCCCAGTGAAAAGGTCAGGTAAATCATGGCCTTTCCTGCTGTGAGTGCAGGACAGGATTTTTTTCACTCTTTGGCCAGGCTTGCCCCGGGCTGTGCATGGTGCTGTTTTGGCTGGATCAGGGCCAGCATTTGCTTGCTTGCTTGCACCACAGGAACAGCTGGGATTTGGGGGGAGAGGCAAAGAGTGCAGGAAGGACATGACCAAAGCCAGAGAGCACCCTAATGGCAAATGGTGGGTGCCCAAGAGTCCTGCTCTTGCCCCTCTGCTTACCTCTCCACCTTTGGGAGGGGAGAAAGGTCTCGTCCTGTCCTGTCAGGGGGTGGCCAGTGGTGCTGTGTCCCCCAGCTCTGCTGTGAGTTCAGGGGCTGATGCCACCCATTCTGAAGGACTGGCAGTGGTCCCAGTGAGCTGGGGAAGGGATGCAGTGGCAGAAAGGGTCAGGACTGGTCTGGAGATAGTGGCACGCTGGTCCAAGCAGAGCTGGACCAGGCAGGTGGGAGAGGAGCTGAAGGAATTTGGAGATGGCTCAGTAGTCCCCAGTGCCAGGCTCGGGCTGGAGGTGGTGCTGATGTGGCAGGTGTGAGGTGGAGGGGGCTTCCCTGGGGTTGCTGCAGGTTTTGGAGCTAGGGGAGCAGGCTGGAGACAGCAGCCGCATCGCAGCTTGGAGGGGTCTCTGACAGCGGAGGGCTCTTAACGCTCCTCTGCTGCGTCGCACTTACGTAAGGTGACAGCCTGCCGGAGCTGCCGCAGGCTTAGGCAGCTTTCTGGCAGTGGGCAGGAGGGATGGAGCAAACCCTCGGTGGTGGTGTTCGGCATGCGGAGAGCTGCCTCCGTCCTGGGCCTGGCTGGCCTTACAGGGAAAGCCCGGGCTGGCCATCTCAACGCACCTGCTGCCTGTGTGTCCTGTGCTGCATGAGCTGGGCAAATGGGGATGGTGGCGGCGTTGTCCTGCCAAAGCCCAGCCTGGCCATCAAGGACACTTCTCATAGTGTGCAACGTGCATCACACTAACCCTGAGCTGTAGTGCAGCATTTCCCCCAGCCAGGAGGCTGCTTCCGTGTTACTCGGGCTGTGCCGCACCATATGGCCCTGGCGTTGCCCAGCTGCTTTTCGTCTCTGCTCTTTGCTCTTTCCC